ACTGCTATTGCCACACGAGGTCACTGAAAACCGAGGAAGAGCTGGTAAATACTTATTTAAATGAATTATGTAAACAGTTTAGTTGAAAGCCATGTGTACATTTTGTGAATCTTTCTGATCAGTGGCCACTCATCCTTAGATTTGATTTGATTCACTCATTAAAACATTTTATTTGAAAACCTACACGGTCTCCATCCTTTCAACTTTCCATAAATTGAGTCAGACAGCAAAATACCTTTTTTCTTTTAAAAAAATTGTTGCTTTGTAACTTGCATTGTTTTGTAATGAACCAAATCATAACATTTTATGATCATGATCTGATTAAATAAACATTGGATTTGTATAATAGTAACTAGGCTGAATAATAACCCTTGTGACTCGTTTCTGTATAAGAACTACATTGCTTATTATGTGTGTATATATGATTTACAACTGTTAAGTCTCAGTTCTTTCCAAATTCCTTATTCTTACTAACTGTAAACAGGGTTTGTTGCACCAATGTAAGTTATTTTTTTATGCATTATCTCAAATATTCGTTGTCTGGTAAATTTCAGGAGGTATTCAAGCAGACCCTCAGGAAAGCGGTGAACGAAGCGTTTGAACAAGAGGTGGGTTATGTTAGCTTCATGAGGCTATCAGACTACTTACTGTAAAACCATCTGACTTCTTTTGTCTTCCTACAGACTGAAATGAAGTACAGAATTGCAGCCTCTATTGACCAGTTCAATGACAAGATAAAGGAGCTGAATCCCAGTCTGGAAATGGTGAAACGGGGATCAAAAACAGACCCAACAGCAAGACGACTGCTGGTAGTGGTGGAGCGCACCATGAGAAGAGTGAAGGCCTTCTTAGAGCTGAGACAGCGGGCCTTTGCTGAAGGAGCAACGCACACTGAAGAAACTCTGGATCACATTTCAGACATTTTAATATCCCAACAGGACCTACATGATGAGCTGTGACAGCTTCCTGTCCTCTGGTTAGATTGGCTTAATGTTTTACTGAGTAAATCATGTTTAAGTTAATTTTATAACAGTATTTTATAACTTGATACATGAAGACATACAATTTCTAGATTTTAAAACTTTTTTCTTTGTTTTTAACTGTTTGATGTTCTTTAATGATTCACTGTGTAGGTAGATGAGTTAAAACCCTAAATAAAAACAAAATGGATTGTTTGGAAGTCATTTCTTCTTTGTTCTAATGTATAAATGCTGTATTAAGACTTGTGCAACATTCAGGATCTTTTGGGAAAAGAAGCAAATAAATTACTTTTTATTACTCTGTGTCCCTCCATCCTGTAATCTGAAAACTGTTTTTCTGAATAACAATTTTTTTTTTTTTTGCAAACTACTAATTTTTCACCACTTCAACTCTGCTTCATTTCATGAACTTTTCTCCATTATTTAAATGTAACTCATTGTATCGCACCGTTTTGAGAAAGTAACTATAGATCTTTTAACCGGCATCTCAATATGTAAGCAGCTTGTGTGGTTTAGTGATTTATTGTTGCATTAGGATTGTTGAAGTGTGAAGACAAAGAAACATGAAACTGGAGTTAGACAGAATTTATTGTTGGTAATTGTCAAGAATACATGATGATTTTATAAAAGAGAAATCACTTCAGTAAGTCAGAGCAGAGACAGAATAAAACATATATTTCTTTTCTCTGCTAGGTTTGTCACAAGAGTTTCCAGTTGTGTCAGCTTCTCTGTGCTGTTCTTGATATTTGCAGCTTGATTCAGCAGCTCTTTAATAGCAAAACCTTTCATTTCCTCCAGGAAGTCGATTATCTCTCTTATGATTCTTAGCAAAAAATTTGGCACAGTTCCCCTCAGCATTTCCACCAAACTGTCCATTAACTGTGTGACATCATCTATGATCCCAGGAATGAAATTAAGGTCAACTGTGTTAATTGCCTGCATGAAAAATAAAAACATAGCAGCATTTTAAACAAGGTAACATTAAAAGAGCTGATTTTTTTTTTTTAAAGTTGTTTTACTTACTTTTCTCCTGGCAGCATCACGTTGCAGTTTCTGAATGTCTCTTCTTATAACTTTCTGCAAATTGAGTGATTATTAAGATACATTTAAAATCAAAGTAGAATATTTAACACAACAAACCAACAAAGTATGTGTTAAAGATTTGTTTCACATCAAAATGTATTTCAAATTGCTTGTTTATTTTAATTAAAAAAAAAGTTTACGAGGTCGTCGTCCTCAATCCAAGAACTTGCAGGGCAGAGCAGAGTCAGCAGAACGAACAGGAGGAAAACGGCTTTAACTCTTAAGACAGCCATTGATCTGCTTCTAGATCAGAGATCAGCTGCCGTCAGTGTTTCAGTTGAAATGCTGAATGATAAAAGAAACCATTACAAACACAAATACATATTCAATGTTTATCGTACCTTTTTGCAGTTTGAGAAGCTACGCAGTTGGTTCATTAAAGGTTCCTTTCCTCGCCTTGCTGTGGCAGACCTCTCTGCTCAGCTGCTCGTCCTCTGTGAAAATGAAACAAAGGAAGCATCACAAACGTGAAACAGAAACCCGTGGCTGTTTTTCTTGTTTATTATATTTGCTTACATTTACTGGCACGTACGTTCTTCAATAGGATTTAGACTTTTTTGCTTTTCGCAGACTTAAAAAAAAAAACCTGACGTTTACTGATGTTAACCTATGAAGCGTATGATGACTTTTAAAAATGGTTCAAGTCGGTGAAATGCTAAAAGACATGGAGTGAAAGGGAATCTTGCACTAATATTGCACATGCATGCATTAATCATTCTGTAAATAATGGTGGCAAAGTTAGACCTGCTGTTTAAAACCAAAGCAAAATGAACCTTAGCAACACCAGAAAAAGACATTTTTACGTTTCCAGGTTTCTGTCTCTCATGTTCAGGTTAAGTTGCCTCCCCTATAAATGCACTATTAATACAATAGCTCTTAGCATTACATTTTCTTTGCTGTTATTTTGTTTACTGCACACACAGGCAGAGGAACAATTATTGTAGCGCTCTGACAAACTTTCCATATCCTGCAGCGTTCACGGTTTACTTGCACCAACAGGTTCCAGCACCTTCTGTAAACATTTTTCTGAGCTGCATTTCCTGAGTCGGTGGTTCAGTTTGTTTGCAAAGCCAAAAATTTAGTTTCTGTAAAATTTCAAATATGCTATAGTTACCAAAACATCTTAATGTAATTTGGATAAGTTTCTGTTTTCTAGCTGCCTCAGTTTACTTTTTTCTTCTTTGTGTTTTTCATGTGTGGATTAAGTAGCGTTGTCACTTTAAAGTGAAACTGAAACGAGCAGAACTGTGCTGTCATCCAATCACGTGCTATGGGTGTGTGTGTGTGTGTGTGTGACAATCCAAGTATATTTAAACCATTTATTGTCTTTCCTTTCATTTCTATCACCAGTAGAGCAGCTCTCTCTCTCTCTCTCTCCTACACAAGGTATGATTAAACTCCCATTTAACAAACTGGTACAAAACTTTTGTCACATACTTTCTGCAACAGGAAATATAACATAAATGTCTTACCTCTGACCTGACTCTCTGTCAAATAAATACATTTTTAAACATTTTTGTTTCAGAATAAACCTCAGAGCCGTGATGACAGCGTCGTCCTCGTTCAGAAGCAGAGGAGAGGTTGGGCTCAGGAAATATAAAAACTTTGTCTTCCTGATTACTCTGCTCCTCCTGCTCTGTCCTGCAAGTTCATTGATAAGCAACAAGGAACTGGTATGTTTGTTCTTATTTTTAAATGAGAGGAAAATCATAGTTTTAAAAAGTTTATAATTGTTGTTTTTCCGCCTAGTTATCTTACTTCTATTATAAATGTTTGTATCTTTCCTCTCCTGATTTTCAGCAAAAAATGAAGGAAAATATTCAGAATCTACAAGAAGATGCAGCGATGAGAAAAGTAAAAAAACAAAAACAAAAAAAACAGTATAAAACTTTATAAAGTCATGGAGTGCCTCAATTAATTAATTGCTTTGTTTGTTTCAGCTTGACAACAAGGTGGACACGGCGCTGCTGACTTTGCTCCTTGAAGAAGTTACACATGTTACAGACCTTTCAGCTGAACTTCTTAAGAGTCCGTTACCAACGTTTCAGTTTCCCATTGAACAACTAAAGGACCTGAAGAGATACCTGGTGGACAGCCAGGATGTTATGCAAAAAAAGTTTCAGAATGAAGCCAAACAAGTCAAGCAATATGAAGACACACTGGTGCGTTTGGAGACATTTGTAGCAAACTTAGCGGAGGAGCATGATGAGTTGTAAAATGTGTATCATGGTTCCAGAACATTTACACCTGGGAGACCTGATTACCCAGGGCTATAAATCTACCTGGTGTCTATTTGTTGTGTTTAAGAAAACGGTTCTGATAAAATGTCTGAATCAGTTTTATTGCTTTTAAAAGAATAATAAAAAAGAGGTGAGCTATAATAAAAAGACCTTGTTAAACTGGTAAATAATTCTTATGCTGAAATAGATTTTAAATGAGATGCTGTAATGCAGTTATTGATGAAATAAAAGTATAAGCAACATTCCTTTTTCAGTGATTTTATTCAAACTCTATTGGGAGTTACACATGTATTTAATGAGCACATTTTCACCCTCATGGGGCAGAAGATGAATGAATGAATGAATGAATGAATGAATGAATGAATGAATGAATGAATGAATGAGACCTGCAACGATCTTCTGATCTACAATAAAACCTTAGATTACACTTTATGCTTTAAAATTCACGACTTATTGCAATTGTGGACTCAGAAAGTTAAAGTATAAGAAGAAAGAAACACCATAAAAATCACATCAAGCATTATTGTTATTAATTTTTTGAAATGCGGTTGGCATGGCAACAAAAATAATGACCTCTCCCAGAAAAACACAATTTGATAATCCAGGCTTGAAACAGAGCATTGATTAAAGAAATATGAATAAGTAAAAAAGAAAAAGTAAAACAGTTTAACAGACCCAAACAATGTTCCCAAACTGAAAACATTCAAGTTCTCCATGTGTATTTATCTTAAAATATTCCTATTATCCAAGTAAATATCCGGTAACATACCTTATACACTGCTACTACGCAAAGCAACAGCAACAGGAGAATTATCATCACTCCAACAGGAAAATGAATGTTTTACTGGGATTTTAAACTCTTCAACACATACTCCAGTTTGGTCTCTGTTTCCTTTGTCTCCCCTGTATATACGCTTTTGTTCAACTCCAAGTAATTCCTAAGTATCTCAAACATCTGGTCCAGTCTGCCCAGCAGTGGATCTGATGGAGTTTTCACTTGCTGCCTTTTAGCTAAATATTCTAGGACCATCATATGAAACTGTTGTCCATATACTGTAGATTCAGCTATTTTTTCTACCTGTAGGATTAAAAATCAAACATTTAGATAGTTTCAGTTTTAACATATTTTATTAATCTCTTAGAAATGGCTAATATCTGAGTGATATAAAGGCAGACTGACACACCTTCTGTCTGTACGCTTCATCCACAGCTTCCTGAAGATACTGCTGAAATAATTTCTGTAATTGACCAGAGGAAAAATGTGGAAATGAAAACTGGTTAGATATTGTGTGTTTAGGAAATGCTGTTGTCGTTGTTTTAACTTTTGACAAAATAAAACCAAATCACTTACAAGCTGCTTCTTGTTTGCCACAAAGTTTGCTTCGTCCAAAAGTGTTAAAATAAATTCAGTACCAGTTTCACTTTCCATCTAATAATGAAAAAATAACTTTATCAGTTGAGCTCTGTTTGCTTTTTATGTAATATAGAGATTTTCTCAGAGAGCATGTCAGCAAAAAGACTTACAAGGATTCTGACTCCTTCTGTTGTTTTCTTTATGCCATTCATAATCTTGTGCTAGAATTCACAAGAAACACAGTAATTACTCATTTACAACTATCTAGGTGTTAAACATGAACCACAACATGTCAGAACATGTAAAAGTCATTTTACCAGTTGCTCAGTTTGAAAGTCCTGTGACAGTCCGACGTGAACCAGAATCAGCAGCGAAACGATTCGGAAAAGGTTTTTGTTGAAGCTCAGAGCCTCCAGTCTCTGTCCTGCTTCAGCCATTATTTCTGGGATTGAAATACTTTAAGAAGTCAAGAAAACCCACAAACTGTGATGAGTTCAGGTTTTTAAAACTTAATTAAAAATGATGTCTTTCCAGATTTAGAGATTCTACCTGTGGGTGAATCAAAGATGGACTGAATGAATGATAGGAGAAAACAACACAACACAGGTGTTTTTAAAATTGAAAGCAAAAAGACAAGTCACGTGAGCTGTAATATGAAGGAAGGGAAGAACTGTGAGCAAGAAAAACACACCTGAAACCTGCATCCAGCTCGGTCACATACGACTGGCTATAAGAGACAAACAGAAAATTAAAGTAGTTACTTTGCTCTTATAAGACCCGCTGTAAGTTTGTTTAGTCTTAGAGAAAATAGAAACTGTTTATTCAGCCAAACTAAACACAGCAGGACACTTGCATCTGAAACTATAAAAAGCATTAAAGCCTTAATAACCAGACACTTGAAGATTTATTTAGTTTTACAACCAATAAGATACAAACACAAAACATTCATTTTGGGGAATCACAACCACCATAAATTAAAGAATTTCTTACCCACACAAAAAGCAGAGGATAAATTATTGTAGAGCTCTGACACAAACATTTCACATCCTGCAGCGTTCGTACTTTACCTGCACCGACATGTTCCACTAACTTTCAGTTCAGTTTGTTTTAAAGCCAAGAATTTAGTTTCTGTAAAACGTCAAATGTACTCCGGCTACAAAAACATCTTAATGTAATTTGGATAAGTTTCTGTTGTTTTCTAGTTCTCAGTTTACTTTTTTATTCTTGTGTGTTTTTCGTCCCTTTAAAGTGAAACTTCAAAAAGCAGAACTGTGCTGACTATCCAATCACATGCTAAGGGGGTGGGTGTGTGTGTTTGTGTGTGTGTGACAATCCAAGTATAAAGCATTTATTGTCCTTCCTTTCATTTCTGTCACCAGTAGAGCAGCTCTCTCTCTCTCTCTCTCTCTCCAACACAAGGTATGATTAAACTCCCATTTAACAAACTGGTATAAAAATTTGTCTTGTACTATCTGCAGATTGAAATATCATAAAATAAATGCCTTACCTCTGACCTGACTATCAAATATATATTTTTAACCATTTTTGTTTCAGAATAAACCTCAGAGCCGTGATGACAGCGTCAACCTCGTTCAGAAGCAGAGGAGAGGTTGGACTCAGGAAATATAAAAACTTTGTCTTCCTGATTGCTCTGCTCATCCTGCTCTGTCCTGCAAGTTCATGGATAAGCGAGAGAGCATTGGTATGTTGGTTCTTATTTTTAAATTAGAGGAAAATCAAACTTTTATAATGCACACTTGTTGTTTTTTGCCCCTATTTACCGTACTTTTGATGTAAATGTTTGTATTTTTCCTCTCTGGAATTTCAGCAAAAGATTAAGGAAAATATTCAGACGCTACGAGAAGATGCAGAAATGAGAAAAGTAAAAAAATAAAAATACACCACGCAAATCTTTATAAATTCATGGCATGCACAATTAAGTATTTATTTTATTTTTTTCTATTTATTTCAGCTTAGCAACCAGGTGGACTCGGCCCTACTTACTTTATTCGTTGAAGAAACTATGGATATCCTAAACATTGAGGATGAAATTCTTTATCAGTTTTCAAGTTATGGATATCCCACTGAAGAATTGGAGGACATGAGAAGATTCCTGGCAAAAAGACAAGCTTTTATGAAAGAAAAGTTTCAGAATGAAGCCAAACAAGTCAAGCAATATGAAGACACTCTCACACATATAGAGATGGTTGTAACAAACCATGCAGAGAAGCGTGTTGACCTGTAAAATGTGTATCGTGGTTCCAGAACCTGTATATCTCCTACTTACGCAGAAATATTCATCTTCTTTGCTGTTTTTTTTTATTTATAAAATACGTCTGCTAAAATCAAGAAATCTGCTGACCTACATTTATTTCCGCATCTATAGCCTGTTAGTCCCTCTTAAGCTGAAGTGCATTTTAAATGTGATGCTGTGTCTAAACCTCCAGTTCAGTTGCTGAGTGTTGATGGGAGCGATTAAATCAAGTGACTGATTAAATAAAAGTGAAACCAATTAATCTTCTGCTGTGATTTCTTGAACTGTGACAGCAAACAAACAAAACTCATTTTTCATAAAACATGTTTTCTTTTATTTGTTTTTTTTTTAATACTGAGTTACACTCTGCTGAACATGAGTTTATCAAATGGAAAATAACAGTTTTGTAGCAAATGTATAGTTCAGACTTTTTATGTAGGATTACTTTAAGTGACAAGGAGTTGAGTAAGGGTTTGAGGGTTCAGTGAAAAATCAGGGAATCTAAAGTCTCCTGTTCTTTTTAAAAAAATGAACGAAAGTTTATTACAGTCTCCATACTTAGAATGTCTGATATTTCTAATTAAATACTTGTTTGTGAATAACCAGTGAGAAATTGTTACTACTGCACTTTTTGAATAAGTTTTACTAAATAAAGCCACACAGTAACAGGTGCAGGGACTCTACAGACTAATACTACATTTTTAGTTCAGAGTTCAGTTGTATTTTTTGTATGTTTTTATTCTGTTGTTGTTTATGAACTGATGTAAAACGTGTGTTTCTGTTACAGTCGAATTCCATTTATTCATTTACCCAGTTATAATATGCCTTATTAATTAAATAGAAAACTATATATATATATATATATATATATATATATATATA